AGGGATAGAAAAGGCAAGATTAGGGAACCATGGATGACAGGTGAAATTGTGAGACTAGCAAAGAGGGAAAAGGAAGCATACATAAGGTCTAAGCGACTGAAAACAGATGAAGCTTTGGAAGAATATCGGGAAAGTAGGACCAATGTGAAACGAGGAATTAAGAGGGCTAAAAGGGGTCATGAAATATCTTTTATTCATACATAAGGAGCAAGAGGCTAACTAGAGAAAGGATTGGCCCACTCAAGGACAAAGGAGGGAAGTTATGCGAGGAGTCAGAGAAAATGAGTGTGAGGGACATGACGGATGTTGAGATTAGGGATAGATGTTTGATTACTCTAGGTCAAGTCAGCGTAAGGAGGGGGGAAGTGTTGGGTATTCTAAAAGGCATTAGGGTGGATAAGTCCCCAGGTCCAGATGGGATCTATTCCATGTTACTGAGGGATGTGAGAGAGGAAATAGCTGGGACCTTAACAGATATCTTTGCGGCATCCTTGAGCATGGGTGAAGTCCCGGAGGACTGGAGAATTGCTAATGTTGTCCTCTTGTTTAAGAAGGGTAGCAAGGATAATCCAAGTAATTATAGACCAGTGAGCCTGACGTCAGTGGTGGGGAAGCTGCTGGAGAAGATACTGAGGGATAGGATCTATTTACGTTTGGAAGAAAATGTGCTTATTAGTGATAGGCAGCATGGTCATGTCTTACCAACTTGATAGAATTCTTTGAGGAAGTGACAACGTTGATAGATGAGGGAAGGCCTGTAGATGTCATATACATGGGCTTCAGTAAGGCGTTTGATAAGGTTCCCCATGGTAAGCTGATGGAGAAAGTGAAGTGGCATGGTGTCCAGGGTGTACAAGCTAGATGGATAGAGAACTGGCTGGGCAACAGGAGACAGAGAGTTGTAGCGGAAGGGAGTTTCTCAAAATGGAGAACTGTGACCAGTGGTGTTCCACAGGGATCTGTGTCGGGACCACTGTTGTTTGTGATATACATAAATGATATGGAGGAAGGTATAGATGGTCTGATTAGCAAGTTTGCAGATGACACTAAGATTGGTGGAGTAGCAGATAGTGAAGGGGACTGTTGGAGAATGCAGCAGAATATACATAGATTGGAGAGTTGGGTGGAGAAATGGCAGATGGAGTTCAATCCAGGCAAATGCGAGGTGATACATTTTGGAAGATCCAATTCAAGAGCGAACTGTACGATAAATGGAAAAGCCCCGGGGAAAATTGATGCACAGAGAGATCTGGGTGTTCAGGTCCATTGTACCCTAAAGGTGGCAATGCAGGTCGATAGGGTGGTCAAGAAGGCATACAGCATGCTTTCATTCATCGGACGGGCTATTGAGTACAAGAGTTGGCAGGTCATGTTACAGTTGTATAGGACTTTGGTTCAAACACATTTGGAATGCTGCTTACAGTTCTGGTTGCCACATTACCAAAAGGATGTGGATGCTTTGGAGAGGGTGCAGAGGAGGTTCACCAGGATGTTGCCTGGTATGGAGGGCGCTAGCTATGAAGAGAGGTTGAGTAGATTAGGATTATTTACATTAGAAAGATGGAGGTTGAGGGGGGACCTGATTGAGGTCTACAACATCATGAGAGGTATAGACAGGGTGGATAGCAAGAAGCTTTTTCCCAGATGGGGGACTCAATTACTAGGGGTCACGATTTCAAGGTGAGAGGGGAAAAGTTTAAGGGAGATATGTGTGGAAAGTTCTTTACGCCGAGGGTGGTGGGTGCCTGGAACGCATTGCCAGCGGAGGTGGTAGAGGTGGGCATGATAGCATCATTTAAGATGTATCTAGACAGATACATGAATGGCAGGGAGCAGAGGAATACAGATCCTTGGAAAATAGGCGACAGGTTTAGATAGAGGATCTGGATGGGCGCAGTCTTGGAGGGCCGAAGGGCCTGTTCCTGTCCTTGTTCTTTGTTCTTGTTCTTTGTTTCAGGGATACATATATATAAACAGATTTAATGCCAATGATATTTTAATCTATCCAAAGGTAAAATCTCAAAAATGCTACTTTCCATTTAAAAAAGTAGCTTCTATGGAAACCATGTGGCAACAACACCCACCATTATATCTATTGTTGAATAAATTACTAGAAATTTGGGACACAGACTCTATTGTAATTATCTGATCATATGATTATGGTTAAAGTCTACTAGATCCTCACAAGTGTTTTTTCATAAAAGAAAGTAAACAAATAATGGTATTAAATTTGTTATTTTGTACAATACGAGCATTTATCAAGTTCAAATCGGTATGCCAGTTTTAATTCTCAGCAAGAAAAAATATCAATACAATTTTGACCAAGTGGACATTGCTCAGAATTGCCAGCAGCATATTTGTACAAAATCATCTGTTTTGCCAGAGGGGAGCTTAAGTCTGAGAATCGCATTAGTGTATGTTGGAATTTAAAAATTGACATGAGGCAAGTGTATGCAATTGAAAAGAAGCTTGGACCATATGCTTTAGCTCACTCTATCTTATTGATTGCATAAAAAATAAACTTTGAAACCACAGAACCATCAAATTGGTAAAGGCTAGTTCAAACAATGAGTTTGTACAACGTATTCATGACAATTTCTCAGGGAAATACATTTAGGAACCAGCTAGAGATAGTTATTTTAGATCTATTATTGAACAATGAGGGTTGTGGAGTAATTTTACAGTAAAAGCATCTTTGGGAACATGTGCCATAAATTTGAATTTCCTATTGAGAAGAGAGTGATATATTTAAATCTAAACCAAGGGCAGAAATTGGGGGTCAGGGGCAGAAAACGGATATTGGGGTAGAAAATGGCTCAACTGCCAGTCCCCATTCCTGGATAAAATGTTGATAGTGATCTGATGTATGAGGAACAAGTCAGCCTAAATTAATGTAGAGTCGGACTTCCATCTGTCATAGGCAGGAAGTTGCATCTCCTTGAAGTGCCAGTCCATGAAGGAGCCCAGAAGGAAATCCCTGGTGCAGGTGTAAGTTGAAAGCATTGAGCAGTGAGCATTTTGCCACCTTTAGGGAGCAGGGATGATTGATGTGGAAGGTTATGTTTTAAATTTTGTGCCGGTCGGAAAATGGGGTACTGTTTTCTGGAGAATGCCCTCTTTGGCTAACCTCCAAAGATAATAATCTCTTCATCTCTGCCCATTTTAAGGACTCTTTAAAAATAACATTGCCCCTTCTTGTCTGCCTACATGTGCAAACCATACGATGGACAAAGCACACCCCATTCATTTACACACTCAACTGATCCATATTTATTTATATTGGGCAGGCTGCAATGTTGGCGTCTTGTGGGGGTGAGCTCAGTGGTGGGAAAATAGTTGCATTGGACTTATTTTTCATCCCATACCAGTGAAAACTCAGAATGGGGGCATGTAAAAGCCAGCCCCGTGAGTCTTAAACATTTCACAAGCCAGTTACATATGTATGAGGGGAGAGCTGACTAATGTTGATTAGGTGACTGGATTAAGTAAATAAACAGTACAAAGCATTTGAAGAAATTGCTCAAAATTTCAAAAATACAAAAATGCAACTGGCAAGTAGTTTACTAATGAAGTTAAGAGTTAGTTCTAGTTTAAAAGAAGAAGCAAATAATGTTGTAAAGAACAGGAATGAATCTGAGGATTTAGAGAGTTTAAGAAATAGGCAAAAGATGACCAAGACATTACAAAGAGAAAACTGGATGATCAGAGTCGAGATGCAAGGGGTCGGGCATTTAATATTGTTTTGCTCTCCATATCTTAGAAGATGTTTTTAAAGTGGTGTAATGCAGATTCACCAGACTGATTCCTACAGTGAGAGGCAGAATAAAATGGTCCATGCTGTCTTCAGTTTCACGGTGATCAAGTTGAAATATTCAAGATTCTGAAGGAAATTGACACTGAGGTTATTTTCATTCTTTGAAGCATTTAGATTATAGGGCACAATCTCAGGATTTGTGACTCAGAGGAGGTGAAACTTCTTGACTTCAAGGATTGTGAATCTTTCTTTGTAAACTTCCTCCCTCAAAGGGTCGTGGGTACTGCACTGCTACATTTGTTCAAGGCTACCACGGATAAATATCCAATTCCTCAAGGAATTGGGGATGTAAGGATTGGGTGAGGAAGTCAAATGGGGCACTTGAACCGTGATCCCATTGATCAGCAACCCAGGTTGGAAGTGCCAAATGCTTCTTTATTTCTTATGTCCTTGTGTTTTTAACACATTTAGGCACACAACATATTGAAGAAAGTATAATTCTGGAAGTACTTTTCTTTTTAATGAACAAATTCTAAAGCTATAAAACTGGAATTTCAAGTGGCATTGGCACCTGGTCTGCCAATATTTTAATTGTTAATTTCCATCAGCTCCAACTGAGTGTAATTGCAGAGAAGCTTTTGTATTCTAGATAGAGCAATGTCAGAGTGACAAGTTGAAATTGGCTGATTACAGCTCAGCTGTAGACCAATCAATGAAACTCATGTCCACCAATATATTGGACCAAAGACAGAAATAGAAACATAGAAAACAGCTGAAGAATCTCAGCAGCATCTGTGGAGAGAAAGCATAGTCAACATTTCAGATCCAGTAACACATTCGCGGGAGTGGGCTGTATTGGTGTACAGCTATCAGTGGCTAAATTGGTGGCATGCAGCTCCAAATCAATGTGGATTCAGTCCCATTTAGTCACAAAGGGCACAGGTGAGAACAGAAGGCATGGCTGAGAAGGATTCTGGGAGGAGTCATCTCAGTCACTGCCCAGGAGGATATAAGAGGGAAGCAAGTGAAAGCAGAGAAGGGCTCCTTTGTAGTGGCAGTGTTGCTGGAGATTTCAGCCTAGGCTTAAGTGAATGCTGGGCTTTGGTGAGGTGGGCAATTGGGCAATTGGGCAATTGGGCAATTGGGCAATTGGGCAA